TCACCAACTAATTTCCTCCCTGTACCTCACGCACCTTAATCCAGTAGTTACATCTCATGAAACCGTCTCGCTGATCGCTCGCCTTACTACCGTCTTGTTCGACTTCTAGCGTTTCCCACTGCTCTCCCGCCTTCACTTCTCTACCGCAACCTTCTGGCTAAATCAGTTCCATGAAGAATCTGCGTAGCTAAACTAGAAGAGCACTGTCACCCTTGTTTCGCAGAACTGTCCACCATATCCGCTAGGGCAGATGCATTTGGAGCAGTAACGCGGATGAGGAAATCCATCATTCTGGCATATTGCGGATTCAGCTCCACATTTTTCTAAAATATGGCACTACTTTTTACGAGCTGTTCCTGTTGGTCACGCCAATATATTTTCACTTATAATATTTTTATTACGCCTACCGACGCAATTGTAAAGCTTGTTCATCATAAGCAGATCGTAGAACGAAATGATATCGGATCCTAGGGTCTCTGTGTAATCCTTATCCTTAGCTTCCATTACAGGTGTTTTCTTGTCTGGGGATATACTGGAAGCATGGTTTTGTTATCTTTCATTCTGCACATATTTCTTCACAATGGTTGTACCTTGAGGATCCATAGTGCATCACGCTGCCGTAATCATATGTTAAATTATAGTTATTATTGGTCTCCGTTGTCTGCGGCTCGAACTGATCTTCCCAGTAAGACTAAAAAATTCATGATATTATTGCATTATTATATGTATAGGTTCGCTACCATTCTAACACCTACTCCAACTTTCTTGGTGTCAACTGTAATAAACTGGTCGCGGTCGTGCCTTGTATGCGTATGGAAAAATCCCAAGGCGTGTCCAATTTCATGAGCTGCGTGTCCGACCTGAAGCAAAACAAACAGGTGAGTCGCATTTGAGCAATTTTGAGACAACTGTGTTGTTTCCTCTCTGTTTTTGTTTGACTCATGTTCCTAACGATAGCGTGGTCCAATCTTGAATTTTCCAAACACATACCGTTTCACAGCCTTCGGCGAGTGAGAGGTGTTGTGGCCCTTCGCCTACCTTCCTGCCAAGTTCTGAGCTACATCCGTCCCCCTTGACCACGAGGAGATAGGCTGAAATACCAAAATTGGCCTAAATATTGAAACTAAGCCAAGCCGTGCTAGCCCTTCTACATCTTTTTTGTCATTTCCAATTCTACTCTAATGTCATCCAACCATGCCCTGAATGTCTCAACTGCAGGTGTCTAGTTGGAGAACTCACATTCGGTAAACCTGACTCCAGGGCTGAGCTGAATCCCATGACCGTAGAGAAATATCGGTACAACACCGGTGGAGTAGTGAAGACCTAGTATTCAAAAAGGAATGGGTCGAACGTTTCATGCAATTAAGCAATGGCCGTTGTATGGGTGTGCTTCTCGAGAATCCATCGGGACGTCAAGAAAACAGATGGTCGCCTGATGACCGCACTACTTTACCAGAGTTTTACGCGAACCGAACACCACGCCACGCAACTCTAGCAGTCAACTGTCTGCTATCGTTTACTAACATGGGGGTCGCATTTGGAGTGCGGAAGGGAGGGAGACCGTAAGCGCTGCGTGAAGGATGGAACGCACGGCAGTATTCGCATTAGCTCCGGTTGTAGGGAGCCTGGATATGTGAGAAGACCTGAGACTCTGAGAAGCACTCATCGCCTATTTCTTACGCGTCTCTTCGTGTGACGCCTCATCTCAAGTAAGTTAGTCAAACGAGACATGATTAGCATCTAGAGTAAATGAAACAAATATAACCATATCAAACTTGTACAGTCGAGATCCGAAAGTTGGGGTAGGCGTGTCACCGGAAGTGACGTGCACTTGATAGAAGTTGCGTGGATAAGCTGTTGCCAGCATGCTTTGCTGATATCAGCGATGTATGTTGGAAGCAGCTTATCCACATAGATTCTATCAAGTGCACGTCACTTCCGGTGACACGCCTACCCCAACTTACGGATCTCGAGTATAGGCACAGGCTTCCACTCAACACTCCTAGGTTTTTGGCTGATTTTTGCATACCAGCGCAAAGGGAAATAGACATTGAATTGCTACTGACTCTTGACAGAAGACGGGTGCGCGCTGCATCCTAGAGTAGGAAATGTTCAGCGTACGCTTGAATTTCAATTTATCGCGAGCAAAAAATTTCCTTGGAGCCTTGATGCTTCTGAACGAAATCACAGGGCAAATGATGCACTGATGCACAGATCAACTTCACGATGTTGAAGCAGTCTTTCACAGAGGAATTATTTTAAATAGGTGACTTCCCGAAAAGGTTCTTTAAAGCGATTATCATAGTATTTCGCCACTAAATTACACCATAAAAACAGCTTCGAAAGAAGTTATGACCATTTGTGCTGTGCAACAACTCCTTTTTATAGTGCTCAAAAACCTCAAAACGGAACGATTTCTAGATTTTGACTATCGAAACAAGCCCAATAAAATTGGATAAAACTCAAATCTTGAATTTTCCGTTTTAATTAGATTTTTGCTTGCACGCAGCTCCAATGAAGTACGATCATCTGAAGTCTGAGGAATGGCGTCTTTATGAAAGTGTACACACTTTTTGAAAATTTACTTTTCCAGTGATTCTCCAAACGGAAACTTTCAAGAATGTTTGAAAGCAATTTTTTGAGGCGTTGAAATCTTTCTGAAAAATGGTGGGAGGTCATGCTCAAAGGAAATTATGACAATTCAAAAGCAGAACTGTGAATTTTTCTGAATTCTCTGTCACATTTGATTCGTTCACTTTATACCAGATAAGTACTCAGAAATCAAGGCAAATTTAGTAATTATCGGGAGGAAAAAGCTTGTGCATTTGGACTATCTGCTTTTCTTCCATTTGAAAAGTTGTAATGAAATTAATGTGTGTAATGTGCTTAAAGCCCCTCTCCCTCTAGTCTGAAGTAGCACACGTGATTTTCGTCAGTGCATAATAACCATGATCACATATTTGTACTTCTCATTGCAGTACTTCCTATCTCTATTCTTCTCGGACTGATGAGGTCTTACGTGAAGCTTCTCTCGAGGGGAACGGTTGTGCTGCTTCTTGTCCATAGAGCGAGCAGAATTTTCTGGGATACTGTGGCCAGCGATGCTTGCGAATAAAGACCTCGTGGCTCCAACTCGACAAATTCTATGACCAACCGCTTGGCGTGTGAAGGATTGTTAGAAAGCGTGTTAGTTGAGAAGGGGATGCAGTTGGAACGATCGCTGAATGCATTTAAACCTCGGTAACTGGCCATGTTACTGAGGTTAAAAATAAGAAAAAGGCCTCACGTCGTGTCATCGGCTGTGGTTTATACTCTGTAAAGTTGATACACGTGTCATCCATCCATAAATTCGCTGCTTTTCTGAAGGAGGTTTCAGTTTCCTCATCTGTAAGTTGTTGAGGGTTTTCCAATGTTCTTTCACGCATAAATGAGAAGAACTGACCCACTCCATAGAACATGTAAGCAACTCCCTCCGACCATTTTGAAGTGATGGACTTTTTGTCATTGTAGGCTTGCCTTTTGGAACGAGCTCTACTAATATCTTCAGCGATTTGATTCCTTTGCTCCCTAAAGATCATGCAAGTCCAGCAGAAAGAATGTAAACGAAAAGCAGGAGAGCTAACTTCCGAAAGGACGATATCTCCCTGGAAACAGCTTCGCAGCCACTCCGCTTTTCGTGTTCACCTCCTCGATGGAGTCTCCCATTGGTTGCACTTCATCAACAGTATCTCTTTTGAAAAACTGAAATATTCGAGTCTGTTAGACAACTGGCTATCAAATGTAAATGGTTTTCTCATCAGAGCTCACCTTTTGCTCTTCAAGGATTTCCGTTCTCAATTCTGGACTCAAAACGGTTATGCCTGCGCTTACCCATGCGGCCAGAATTAATGCGAGCATAAGAAAACTCATGGTAGACCTCAGAGCTATAGTTTTTCGAATGATAGGATTATCCGGAGATGAAATTGCTGGAGGATGAAGTCAATCTCTCTTACCCTTATTTATACGGTACTTCTGGACTCTGAAGTTGACTCAGCGGGATTTTGTCGATATTGATTCATAAACGTTCATGACGTAAAAAATTTCGTTTCGTATGCTCTTCTGACATGTCACAAGAATGAATGTAGAATTGAAGGGTGCCACACCATCGGCTAAATCCACGAATTGCATCATTTAAGATTTTGGAGTAGTTTTGCGCTGGTCTGAAATTATGTTTTGTGTTGCAAAGAAAGTAAGCCGAAGGACGAAATGTACATGTTCTAGATGGCTATACTTTTCTAGCGAAAACGACTCTGTCTTGGAGAACGATTTTTTCACATGCAAAGCCTTCTTTATTTCCCGCTGGAAAATGATTTTGAAATTCCTTCAACACATCCTAATTAACATCCTTCAATCAGGTCAAGTTCAAGGACGATTCAATTCCCGAGTAGGTTTTAATAACATTGGGTCATTTCTCTATGAAAAGGAGTTTATCTCAAGTCAAATTAACCATTACAGACCTCGTGGAATGTGACTGCCTAATGCTTCTTGTTTCTTTTTAAAGAAAGTATCCATTTTCAAAGGTTCAAGGCTGTTCTGTTTTTTTGCGATAACTTCAAGAGGAAATCAGCTCTCTCTCCCCCCCCTCCCGATCCGATGCGATGCTTCCACGGAAGGAACATGTACATTTCGTCCTTCGGCTTACTTTCTTTGCAACACAAAACATAATTTCAGACCAGCGCAAAACTACTCCAAAATCTTAAATGATGCAATTCGTGGATTTAGCCGATGGTGTGGCACCCTTCAATTCTACATTCATTCTTGTGACATGTCAGAAGAGCATACGAAACGAAATTTTTTACGTCATGAACGTTTATGAATCAATATCGACAAAATCCCGCTGAGTCAACTTCAGAGTCCAGAAGTACCGTATAAATAAGGGTAAGAGAGATTGACTTCATCCTCCAGCAATTTCATCTCCGGATAATCCTATCATTCGAAAAACTATAGCTCTGAGGTCTACCATGAGTTTTCTTATGCTCGCATTAATTCTGGCCGCATGGGTAAGCGCAGGCATAACCGTTTTGAGTCCAGAATTGAGAACGGAAATCCTTGAAGAGCAAAAGGTGAGCTCTGATGAGAAAACCATTTACATTTGATAGCCAGTTGTCTAACAGACTCGAATATTTCAGTTTTTCAAAAGAGATACTGTTGATGAAGTGCAACCAATGGGAGACTCCATCGAGGAGGTGAACACGAAAAGCGGAGTGGCTGCGAAGCTGTTCCAGGGAGATATCGTCCTTTCGAAGTTAGCTCTCCTGATTTTCGTTTACATTCTTTCTGCTGGACTTGCATGATCTTTAGGGAGCAAAGGAATCAAATCGCTGAAGATATTAGTAGAGCTCGTTCCAAAAGGCAAGCCTACAATGACAAAAAGTCCATCACTTCAAAATGGTCGGAGGGAGTTGCTTACATGTTCTATGGAGTGGGTCAGTTCTTCTCATTTATGCGTGAAAGAACATTGGAAAACCCTCAACAACTTACAGATGAGGAAACTGAAACCTCCTTCAGAAAAGCAGCGAATTTATGGATGGATGACACGTGTATCAACTTTACAGAGTATAAACCACAGCCGATGACACGACGTGAGGCCTTTTTCTTATTTTTAACCTCAGTAACATGGCCAGTTACCGAGGTTTAAATGCATTCAGCGATCGTTCCAACTGCATCCCCTTCTCAACTAACACGCTTTCTAACAATCCTTCACACGCCAAGCGGTTGGTCATAGAATTTGTCGAGTTGGAGCCACGAGGTCTTTATTCGCAAGCATCGCTGGCCACAGTATCCCAGAAAATTCTGCTCGCTCTATGGACAAGAAGCAGCACAACCGTTCCCCTCGAGAGAAGCTTCACGTAAGACCTCATCAGTCCGAGAAGAATAGAGATAGGAAGTACTGCAATGAGAAGTACAAATATGTGATCATGGTTATTATGCACTGACGAAAATCACGTGTGCTACTTCAGACTAGAGGGAGAGGGGCTTTAAGCACATTACACACATTAATTTCATTACAACTTTTCAAATGGAAGAAAAGCAGATAGTCCAAATGCACAAGCTTTTTCCTCCCGATAATTACTAAATTTGCCTTGATTTCTGAGTACTTATCTGGTATAAAGTGAACGAATCAAATGTGACAGAGAATTCAGAAAAATTCACAGTTCTGCTTTTGAATTGTCATAATTTCCTTTGAGCATGACCTCCCACCATTTTTCAGAAAGATTTCAACGCCTCAAAAAATTGCTTTCAAACATTCTTGAAAGTTTCCGTTTGGAGAATCACTGGAAAAGTAAATTTTCAAAAAGTGTGTACACTTTCATAAAGACGCCATTCCTCAGACTTCAGATGATCGTACTTCATTGGAGCTGCGTGCAAGCAAAAACCTAATTAAAACGGAAAATTCAAGATTTGAGTTTTATCCAATTTTATTGGGCTTGTTTCGATAGTCAAAATCTAGAAATCGTTCCGTTTTGAGGTTTTTGAGCACTATAAAAAGGAGTTGTTGCACAGCACAAATGGTCATAACTTCTTTCGAAGCTGTTTTTATGGTGTAATTTAGTGGCGAAATACTATGATAATCGCTTTAAAGAACCTTTTCGGGAAGTCACCTATTTAAAATAATTCCTCTGTGAAAGACTGCTTCAACATCGTGAAGTTGATCTGTGCATCAGTGCATCATTTGCCCTGTGATTTCGTTCAGAAGCATCAAGGCTCCAAGGAAATTTTTTGCTCGCGATAAATTGAAATTCAAGCGTACGCTGAACATTTCCTACTCTAGGATGCAGCGCGCACCCGTCTTCTGTCAAGAGTCAGTAGCAATTCAATGTCTATTTCCCTTTGCGCTGGTATGCAAAAATCAGCCAAAAACCTAGGAGTGTTGAGTGGAAGCCTGTGCCTATACTCGAGATCCGTAAGTTGGGGTAGGCGTGTCACCGGAAGTGACGTGTACTTGATAGAACTATGTGGATAAGCTGCTTCCAACATACATCGCTGGATATCAGCAAAGCATGCTGGCAACAGCTTATCCACGCAACTTCTATCAAGTGCACGTCACTTCCGGTGACACGCCTACCCCAACTTTCGGATCTCGACTGTACAAGTTTGATATGGTTATATTTGTTTCATTTACTCTAGATGCTAATCATGTCTCGTTTGACTAACTTACTTGAGATGAGGCGTCACACGAAGAGACGCGTAAGAAATAGGCGATGAGTGCTTCTCAGAGTCTCAGGTCTTCTCACATATCCAGGCTCCCTACAACCGGAGCTAATGCGAATACTGCCGTGCGTTCCATCCTTCACGCAGCGCTTACGGTCTCCCTCCCTTCCGCACTCCAAATGCGACCCCCATGTTAGTAAACGATAGCAGACAGTTGACTGCTAGAGTTGCGTGGCGTGGTGTTCGGTTCGCGTAAAACTCTGGTAAAGTAGTGCGGTCATCAGGCGACCATCTGTTTTCTTGACGTCCCGATGGATTCTCGAGAAGCACACCCATACAACGGCCATTGCTTAATTGCATGAAACGTTCGACCCATTCCTTTTTGAATACTAGGTCTTCACTACTCCACCGGTGTTGTACCGATATTTCTCTACGGTCATGGGATTCAGCTCAGCCCTGGAGTCAGGTTTACCGAATGTGAGTTCTCCAACTAGACACCTGCAGTTGAGACATTCAGGGCATGGTTGGATGACATTAGAGTAGAATTGGAAATGACAAAAAAGATGTAGAAGGGCTAGCACGGCTTGGCTTAGTTTCAATATTTAGGCCAATTTTGGTATTTCAGCCTATCTCCTCGTGGTCAAGGGGGACGGATGTAGCTCAGAACTTGGCAGGAAGGTAGGCGAAGGGCCACAACACCTCTCACTCGCCGAAGGCTGTGAAACGGTATGTGTTTGGAAAATTCAAGATTGGACCACGCTATCGTTAGGAACATGAGTCAAACAAAAACAGAGAGGAAACAACACAGTTGTCTCAAAATTGCTCAAATGCGACTCACCTGTTTGTTTTGCTTCAGGTCGGACACGCAGCTCATGAAATTGGACACGCCTTGGGATTTTTCCATACGCATACAAGGCACGACCGCGACCAGTTTATTACAGTTGACACCAAGAAAGTTGGAGTAGGTGTTAGAATGGTAGCGAACCTATACATATAATAATGCAATAATATCATGAATTTTTTAGTCTTACTGGGAAGATCAGTTCGAGCCGCAGACAACGGAGACCAATAATAACTATAATTTAACATATGATTACGGCAGCGTGATGCACTATGGATCCTCAAGGTACAACCATTGTGAAGAAATATGTGCAGAATGAAAGATAACAAAACCATGCTTCCAGTATATCCCCAGACAAGAAAACACCTGTAATGGAAGCTAAGGATAAGGATTACACAGAGACCCTAGGATCCGATATCATTTCGTTCTACGATCTGCTTATGATGAACAAGCTTTACAATTGCGTCGGTAGGCGTAATAAAAATATTATAAGTGAAAATATATTGGCGTGACCAACAGGAACAGCTCGTAAAAAGTAGTGCCATATTTTAGAAAAATGTGGAGCTGAATCCGCAATATGCCAGAATGATGGATTTCCTCATCCGCGTTACTGCTCCAAATGCATCTGCCCTAGCGGATATGGTGGACAGTTCTGTGAAACAAGGGTGACAGTGCTCTTCTAGTTTAGCTACGCAGATTCTTCATGGAACTGATTTAGCCAGAAGGTTGCGGTAGAGAAGTGAAGGCGGGAGAGCAGTGGGAAACGCTAGAAGTCGAACAAGACGGTAGTAAGGCGAGCGATCAGCGAGACGGTTTCATGAGATGTAACTACTGGATTAAGGTGCGTGAGGTACAGGGAGGAAATTAGTTGGTGAGCTTGAAGATCGCATCTTAAGGCACCGGACGATAAAAAAGTTGAAGGTGAAAATTGTGGAACTCCGTGACATGGTTGCCGTCGATGGATGCAAATATTCTGGTGTTGAAATCAAAACACATTCGGATAAACGTCTCACCGGTTACAGGTACAATATAATAAATACTTACGTTAATGCAATAGATTAAATGGTGAAAATTTTTGCTCAAAAACAAGCTACTCTGTGACTATTTCAGGTTCTGCTCGGAGAGGAAAGAGTACCCTACACTCAAATCGAATTCGAACATTGTTCCTGTAATAACATATAACCGCCAAAATCAAACTACGGTCACAAAGCTTCAGTACCACTACGTTGAGTGAAAATGGATACTCCATAAAAATGAAGCCTTGTAACGTTCTTCAATACATACTGAAGGAAATGCACACAGAAACAGAAGAGGTGGCCCGATAGTTCACTATGCTCAATCAAATGGCTCACTGGAAATGAACTTGCTTGCAACAAACCAACCACAAAGGGACCGTTTTCTTTTCAACGATATATGACGCGAATGGAAGAAATTTTTAAGACTACTTTTCAAACTGCCTCTTTCA